TGTGTGTGTGTGTGTGTGTGTGCATGTGTGTGCATGTGCGTGTCCATGGGCCCCAGACAGGAAGGAAGAGCGTGGGCCCGGCCGTACAGCTCCAGAATTCCGGTTTTGTTTTTCTTCTTTTTCCATCAGTGCGGAGCCTGCGCCGGGTCTTAAAGAAACAGTCATTAATATTTTTCCCCCTCTTAATGACGCCACACTGTTCTGTGAGAGTGACTGAGTCCTCTGCAACAGGCCTCAGTGTGACTCATTACTTCAGTATGTAAACATATAACCACTTTGCCCAATAAAAGAAAAACTCAAATGAATGTGTAGCTCTTTCATGGCTCAAATGTTTCTGCTCCTCGAGAAATCCCAGCGAGCGGCTGAGCGCAGCCTCGGGTTCATTTTCATTGAAGATTCTAAAAATAATAGTTACTGATCCAGCATCAGTGGTCAGGTTGCGTAAATTACTCAGGGGGTGAAACATGAGGATTTTGAACATGAGCGGAGCAGGAATATTTCGCTGCCGCCCCCATGCTTTTGTAACAAATCCATCAGAATCTGGCAGAGAACGGGTTGAAAGTGACTCGCTGTAATCGATGGATGACACAGCTCCCGTCTCTTGATCACAACGTCTCTGCGGAGGACAATGAAGACAGGAAAGTCCCGGTTTCTCGGGAACCGCTCGGGCTCTGTGGACCAATCAGAGTGGAAACTGTTCTCTTAAAATTAAAGGGTGACCTCATTGTTTTTGGCAGCGATTATGAAAATAAACCAACTTTCACTAGAAACACGAACCAACCTCAGAGTTATGAAAGAGGAAGAGGAATGGTTTCATCAACTAATGTCAAGTCAGAGATAAGGGTGAAAACATTTATTAAGAAAGGACACAATAACTTACTGTCGGAGTATAAAAGTTGAAGACACAGGATATGAAAGGGACATAAGAAGACTCTTAACTTTCAGACAGCTCTTACTACAATCAGGAGTTTACAGTTTAAAAAAACTTGGAGCCAATACAAAAAGTACCATTATTTGAATTTCAAGTATAAGACTGGTATTTAACTTAATATTTTCCCTGTCAACAAATCATAAGAGAGCAAAACCAACAATGACTTTGTCTGCGCCCTTCTGTCGCTCCTACTGACACAAATACATATATAGGGTCTTCTATATATTATTTTACATACAACAACACTAAACAAACATTAATCAAAGTAAAGTATATTATAAAATATCAATTTGGGATGCACTGATTCCAATTTGTCTTTACTGATGGTCCATGAAATCAGAAATGAGCCTTAAATCCTAAAAAGTGGCCCCTTTTCCCCAATTTAAAATTGTTCCTGTAAAATCTTTATTTCCATGTAATGCATCATGAGGCCAGGGATGACTGTTGCACTAAAACTTATATAATGGCTTGAGGTGAAGACAAAACTGAATCACAATATTTAAAATGACATGGATAAAAATATTGTATTTAATGTGGATTAATTATGTCACAACCATGGTGTGTAATACGCTCAGTGTCACCAGCGACACAAATGGAATCTGTTCATCCCTGGTATTTACTGGTGAATATTAATGACTGAAAATGAACTACTGTAATGTAGGAACGTGTCATAAATGGTGAAGAGTGCTTTTAATTGTTTTTGTGGAGAGCAAAGGTTTCGCTGACTGATACATCAGGACTTGACAAATAAAATGTTGGTGTTGGTCTTTGAGATTTGTTGACAATAAGAAAAATATAGAACATCAGCAGCTCAATCCTTCAACAAACGACCTGAAAGTTCATTGAACAGAGAAGTTTCCTCGTGTACGACAAAGTAAAGGCACCGTGTTGCCTCTGCAGTGATGCTTCACTTCATCTGAAACTGTCACAACTTTTACTTTTGAGGAGAATCAACAAAAATCTAAAAAAGTATCTGTAGGCAACAAAGTGACTAAGGTCAATATCGGGCGGATTAAAAAAAAGCTTTGAGTTTCTGTCACGATTCAAAAATCAATGTAGTGGCCTGAGTGCAACGAAATCATTTAGCTGATGTCCTGAGCCAGCCTGCACACGCACACGCACACACACACGCACACACACACAGAGAGAGAGAGAAAAACGAGCATGTGCGGTGCATAGGCAAGTAACAAAGTCTCTTGTGTGTGTCTACACTTTTGTACAGGCAGCCATCTCTCACACACTCACACACACACACACACACACACACACACACACACACACACACACACACACACACACACACGGTGGCTGGTTGCAGCAGGTCCTTCGTCAGCAGAAAAGGGACTGCGCTCTCAGCACTGTAGTAGAGGAACAACTTCTCTAATATTCACCTCCTTCACTCCTGATATCTCTTAGCAAAATAACCAGACAGGGTAAATCAGCAGTCAGGCTCAAGGTGCGTTTAAGGTCCAGTCAGGAAAACTATTCACGTCAAGTCTCTGCACTTCTTCTGTGGACTTTGATCTCACATTTTACTGTGATCTAACAACAGTGATGTTAGTTTCTGGTGTTGATGCGACCCTGTTTCTTTTACTGTGATGCCGCCATCTTTAGACCTCCTCCTCCTCCTCCTCCTCCCGTTGTCTCTGGAGATGCAGACCGATCTCCATCTGATTCTCCAAACACTCCTTGAGCTTGTCCTCAGTCAGCGTCAGCCGCTGCTCCAAGATTGAAACCGTCTGGGTGAGAAAAAGGGGGGGGGGGGCGACAATTGAGGAGAGGAACAAGACAAAAAGAGAGAGAGAGAAGGGGGAAGGAAGGAGATGGATGAGAGAGACAGAGCATGTTAGAGAGGGCTGCACAGCATCAGCCTGACAGTAATGACTACATAATGGCCGTGTTTGTGTGTGTGAAAGAGGCAGTTAGTGTGTGTTTGGGACAGATGTTGTGCGTGCAATACAATCCAGCTGATTATCGTAGCGAGATCTGCTGCCTGAGCTGAAAACAGCAGAGTCTCTGTGTCTGGCACGCACCCTCTCTTGTTCTCCTTGTTCTCTCTCTCACACAGTTGCATAAACACACTTACGCACACAAAGAGTACAAGAAAGTCACTTTGCGACACAGGACCGGCGTGTGTGGGTAGTGAGATCACAGTGCGACATACTTTTCCTCACAGCATCCTCCTACAGTACAGCGTTTGTTATGTTACTTGTGCTTGTACATTTGAGCAGCCGTGTCATCTCTGGCTGTTTATCAGAGGAGCCTCCAGGTGTAATTTTCGTGTTGTCGCCGTCTGAATGAACCGACCACTGAGGACTGAGCCGAATGTTCTGGCTTTGATTCCAGCAACGCTTCAGCAGCCACAACAAGAGGACAAATAAATGAGCCTTTCATCACTGAAAACAAGCAGGAGGGTTGAGCATGTTAATTGTATCGGCAGCATAATAGTTTTAAAAAGACAAACCCTTGGCAGCAATAAAAGAAATGTGACCGGACTGACTTATCACCAAAATGCAAGCATACAGTTCTTCTTTGGTGCAAAGAATTCTGTGAGACTGATATGTAAATGAACAGCAGCACTTTATAGAGTTAGATGTAGGCTTGTATTTATAATTACGTCTGGTTGAAAAGCGGAGTCATACACACAGAAGACACCGATGAAGATTTCTCGAGAGTTTGTGGTGATGGGAGCTGACTTCAGTGTCGATGTGTTGTAAACAAAATCTATTTATATGTCACTTCCTGCCTCTGTCTGCTTCACCTGGCTGCTCCGCCTTCACCTGAATAATATGAGAGGATTCGTTGTTTACTGCTTAAGTTTGGGACAGAATTTCTCCAACGTGATAGAAAACAGATGAAAGAATCTGGAGGTAACATTTCTACTCTGCATGCGCCTCCTGGCAGTCTAATAGTTTTATTAACCAGAGAGAATATTTCTGCACCGCTGCATCCTCAGGGGAATAGGCAGTAATTTCAATGAGTCTTCTTCTGCAGACACTCAAGTGGCAACAGTTCCCTCTGCATCTCTGACAAAATTGCTTAATATTGAGCTAATATTGTGTCGTGACAAACTCAGTTCCAGCCTGTGAGCAGTTTAGGATACTTGGTCGTGGCAAAAAATATTTCGTCTACGACTAGAACAACCAAATGGTAAAATCTCAAATCATGATAGATTTGAGCCGGTGTCTTGACCTGTACAGTTTATGTCCCTCCTCACTTTTAAATCGAGGCTTAAAACATTAAAATGCTTTCCATTGTGTTTCCTGGTGCCACTTTGTTGTTTTGAAAATGATTTAAACAGTTTGTCTCTGTTTGTTTCTTTCCTCTTTTATAAATTACTGATGCTTCTTGTATGTTTATGTAAAGCACTTTGAAAAGCACCGAGCATTCCTTAAAACATAACCAGCCCTGTGCGGACACATGAGTTTACCTCACAAATAATCAACTCTCACAAGCTTTCAGGTTTACATCGTTTCATTGAAAAACAACCCATTGATAGGTCAACAACATGGTGGGTAACTCAACACTATTATATGATATGCACGTCTTATGATATGATCTTGATGGTACTCTTGTTTCCTTTCTATTCCAGGAACGTCTCCGTTTATGATAATTTAATGGCCACTTGATACAATCAGGCCAGTGCTTATTATAATATCATCTATCATCTTATTGTTGTTTTTCTTAAGGCGGCTTGATTAGCCGTTTCAACGAACAAAACTCTAGATCTATATCAAGATCTATTGTTTGACGAGGCGAAGAATGAAGTTCATGTTTACATCATCATGCCAAGAAATACTTTCCTCAAATTCCATAGTTTTGATCATTTGAAAAGACAGAGCAAGAGACAAAGTAGAATAAGGAAGTGGAGCAAGAAAACAAACTGTACAAGCTCTGGAAAGTCAGGTTAAATGACTTCTTTTACATCTCAGTTGGTTATTTTAAGTATTTTGTCAATACTTCAGTTTCAGTTCAGTACAGATGTATTATAGTTGGTGGACCAAATTCATCCATTCCAGAACCACTAAACCATCAACGTTTCACTATTTAAGATCCATTTGAATGTTTAATGGAGATCAAACTTTTGTGACATGCAAACTATCTTTACTATTCTATCTTTTATGTCTCTCATCAGTCCATCTTGTAATCTGTGTCTCTGTCTGTCTCACAGTGTTCACGCCTCTCTGTCTTGTTCTTACAGACATGTCTGAACAAACCACGACCCCTCCGCTCGCTCGTAGACTCTACACATCCATCGAGATGTGATACTCAACCAGCAGACATACATTTAGGCCTTGGGGGACATTGTGTTTGTGAGAGTCCACGAAAAAGCAGAAATATCAAATCAACCACACAAGTTTTAAATAAAAACATCCTCCATATTGAAAACATAAGACATGCTACATATGTCAGTCGGATTTTGAAAGTAATTTTCTTACTTCTGGGAAGAAATTCTGCTTTCACTTCAGCCCTCAACAGATTATCTCCCAGATCAAGAAATCAGAAGTGAGTGTAAATGATTCAACCACGCTGCACTTCTACAAACATGTAATCAAGCAGGAAGTGACGCCAATCTTTGAATCAGATAACCTCATATTCCAACATACACACCACACAACCAAATAACGTATGAGTGAGTGGTGTTTTCTTTTGAGTCACCAAGCCAGATAACATCTCCTGCTATTTCGTGCATCATGGGAAAGAAAAGTCTTATATTTCCTCTTTCCCTCCTTCTCTCGGCCTGTCTCCATTCTCTAGATCAATACTACCCTGTTTGTCTTACCAACCTGATATGGCTGCCCAGTCCTCAGCTCAGCCAGCTATTGGTGTTGGTGTGTGTCTGATTCTGCACGTGTCCCCAGGCAACGGCAACATTATACGGGCCTATAGTTTTCATCTGGAGTAGAAACCAAACCTTTATGCTCCTAAAAATAGAGTGAGCTGTTTTTCTTTTCTCTCCAGAACACATTATACCCTCCACTGCCCCGAGCATTACTGGCCTGTGTTACAAAGTCTCATAGCTTTGGTATGACCCTTGCTACAATAGCGTAAGACGTCAGAGGACGACAAAGTGATGCTGACGATGGGTGGCACTGTCAGTTCTTTTTTCGTCACATCAAATCTTGCATCTTAGGTGATCTGAGTTATTAAGCAGGTCTTTATTAAATCGATCATCACTGTGGAAAGGGTGATCCGATCAATCCAACTAATTTACCAATTAGAAAAACAGAAACCTAGACAGACTATAAATACTTAGAACCTGCAAATGTGTAGAACGAGTCGTACTACCCGTTCATTTTAACATCCATAACCAGCTTTAAATCCATTACATATGAAGATAGCCGATAAAAGGCCAAACAGTTTCTCTCATCTCGTGCTCCTCTGTCAGTCATTGTATCAAACCCACCCTGTCTTAAATGCATTTGGGATTTGATTTGATTTTGATGTTCTCTGATTGGTCTGGTGTTCAGGTTAATTTTCCATTATTGGTACTCTGGTAACTATGTAATAACATCACTGTTTCCAATTACTGCAAATACTGGTAGAGCTGCAGCTAATAATGATCTTTTTATGGATTGAATTCAGCATTATTTCCATATTAACTGATTTATCATTTGTTTAATAGTTGGTCAGTAAATGGTAAAAAAAAAAAGAAGCAAATTACGAGTCCAAGTTGACGAATGCAAATTTGTTTTTTGTCTGACTAATTGTCCAAAATCCAAACATAGTCAGTTTAAAGTCATTAAACAGTAACAGCAGCAACTCCTCATATTTCTATTAGTTTTGCAAATTGATATTTGAAATAGTTGGTGATTAATGTCTGAGCTTCTGTTTTTCCTCTTCAAGTTTCCTAAAATCATTAACACCTTCACTCCTCATCAACTGAAATATGTTTCTTTCACTTTCTGCCACGTTCCTTGAAATGCCACATAAGACTGTTCTATCAGGAAGATGAGTTCAGTGGACTAGTCTGTATCCATCATATCTATTGTCACATAAACATGGTTGAAGCACAAAGGGCTGAGCTGCTGCTGCATAATTTGGCAGTTAGAAAACAATGCTGCTTCAGAGCAGTGAGTTCAAATCTAACACGTTTGCTTTTGCTCTGTTACAGTTTCTCTTATGACCTATGTCACAGAGAAAAATCACAAACTCTCCTTCAGTAAACTCATGTCTCATTGAGGAAGAAAGGGGGCTACTGCACTTGAATTAGGAAATTCTACTGAGGAGAGCCATTCTTTACTTAATATTCTTCATAATTGAGGGTGGGGGTGTGAAAGAAGGGGATAGGTGTCGGGACTTCAGGCTTATATGTAAGAGCAAGGTATAATAACATGAAAGAAACAGGTATGGGTGGGTGAGGGTTAGGGAGTTAGAGAAATGAAAAGAAGCTAACACAGCAAACTGTGGCTTTGGAAGACTCAGTTTAAACGTTGAATAATTCATCCCCTCACCTCTCAGTCTCCTCGACTATTAGAGTTACAAAGAGCTATAAAACTGAAAAATAATGCTGCAGAAAAGACACATTAAAGGAGCAGGAATATAGTGCAGAAATAAATAACGTTCCTTAGTCAGCCTAATCTCCAGAGAATGGGCAGCGGTAATTTAAGCCTCCATATTAGCCAGAAATTAGAACAAAAGTTTTAGCTCGAGTCTCTTCACACTGTTGTGCATTAAAAACCTGCACGAGTGCAAAATAAAGTCTGACAAATGCTTCTACAGGGTTGCATTTAAAGTAAGTGTTTTATGGAGTCTGTATTTTAGGGGATATACTATATCATGGGGTACACTTTGCCTGGAAAGCTCAATAAAGCACAAAACAACTTAGTATTCCAGACTATTAAAGATTTGGATTTCAGAATAACAACTAAGTGCTTCATCAAGCACAGTTTCTTAGGTAGTATGCTATATTACATAACAATTTCAAATTCAAGTTGTCTAAATAAGTTGTTATTTGCTGATTCCCATATGATAATACAGATAAAATGTAACTAACAGGGATCCAAACCACATTGTGTTCAATAGGAACCATTTTACTAGGTATTCTTCATACTGTAGGAAACAGATCAAGTGCTGCTGGTGATTGACCTGCCAGTGCTAAGGTGTCAAATCCAGTACCTTTATTATTTACTGCATTTGTACTGATTATTGATTTTTACAGGATTTCTTGCTTGGATATTTTTTAATGTCACACTCTTTAGATAGGTATACGAATTAAAGGCCCTTTTCTAGTGACAAGCACCAAAACTCTTTCCATACATAAACCTTCTAAATGTATTTCCTTGTAGTAGCTTGTAGTTGTATTTTTCTGTTATTTTTGGATGCATTACTATGATTCTTGCATCATCCACCACCTGTAGTTCAGCGGAATAATGTGCAGTCATTGCCAAAACTGTAAATTGCGTCACACACGTGTGCACAAGTCAAACAGATGTGAACTCATTCATACTCAAGAGATTAAAAAACTCCACAAGGTAACCTTTAAGATAGAGACTTTCATTTTCCAGTATTTTTATAGTCTCTCTCTGATTATTATTATTATTTTTTCTCCCTTATCGTTTTATGTCTGCGGGACATATTTCTGCAACAACCAGCGCTAGAAGCACTTTAACTGTTTCCTTGTATGATTTCACGACCTTGAAATACACTTTGCTTGTTTGTGTGGTATTTTGACGCTAATGTCAGAGTGCAAAGTGCACAGGTGGGACAAAAAGGCAGAAACAGAGGCAAGGTGTATTTAAATGAGGCAAGGCAAACTAAGCTGTGGGTAATTCTAAGGAAAATGTATCTTAGACTTCCCACTGAGGATAGATGTTTCTAGCACAGTATTACTCAGTGGATAGTCAGGGGTTTTACCAACAAGAGCAAATTAAATACTTGGAGCAAATGTGCAACAGAGAGAATTGATGACAGCCACAAAAGATATGACACACAGGTATGAAACAACTACAAGGGGAGTACAGTGCTTTATCAATGACAGCCTGCAGATTAAATCAGAAGTTTGCATTCACATAGTTTTCTACCTGTTTTCTCAGGCTATCAACCTGATCTAAAAAAGATATCATGCATGAATCTACCACCGAAGAATGAAACCTATTAATCAAGGACTGTCAGATTGTCCATCTGGGATCAGGGTTGGGTTACGTGGGGCTTGAAAGGAAAAGGCTGGCACAACCACTCTGGGAGAGGTTAGTTAGATGCCTGGCTGCCCAGGGCCAGTACTGAATGCTCCCACATGCTGGACTGCAGCATGATCAAGACTGTATCTCCGTATGTATCTCTGCAACGCCATTAACCATTTATATTTACTATCACTGTACATTAAGGATGTAAATGTATTATTTGCTGAGCCTGGGCAGAGCAAAATGTTCTTTTATGCTAAGTGTATCTCCGAAAGAGTCCTTTACTGCTGTGGTATTCATACTAAGAAAGAATAAAAAGCAGTGAATGTGTATTGGTATACCTTTAAATTGAGGTTTTAATTTTGAATGAACAAACAGCACACACTAAAAATATGCAGATCCTCAGTTCAATAAAGAACAAAGAATTGTGCAAGAAGCCTTCTGTGGTATTTGGTGAGAACTGGATCTTGGATGCTGCCCTGAGATTAGACATCTAAGAACTGTTCCTGGCAAAACATCACACATCTTGTGATTCATTTTTTGGTGATTCCTTTAACAAGCTTAAACTTAATACTTGGGACATAAAATGCAGCAATTACATGATAATGTTGCCCTCCTCCAGCTGGTATATAACTTTGAATTGGCATCAAAAAATAAGTTTATGTGTTTCAATCAGGAATGCCAGTGACTGCAACAAGTATAAAATAATTGGGCGATTCTTTCGTGGCTTTTAAACATCTGCAGAAAGTGTTGCATGTAGTGAATCCACTGTATTGATTGATTAATAAAAGTTGCAAATCATTAAATTGCATATTCTTGATAGATCGGTCATCTTAAGGCCTGAGGTGACATTGTGATATTGAAATTACAGACACACTGCGAGTAAAGCATCCACAAACGTGTGTGTGTGTGTGTGTGTGTGTGTGTATTATGAAATCCATGATGGATAAAGACAATCATAGTTGTTTCTGTCCCAAGTGTGTCAATATCCTATTTAGGTTTATAAGATTAGATCAAGATTAAGAATATAAATAAATTCAGATTAGATCATGTCAACAAGTGTAATGTCTCAACTTGAATCATGACATTAATATAGTGAGCAATTATGCACGTTATTACAGGCAAGATACAATAAAATTATTTGGGATTCAATAAGAAAAGAAAAGGACTACCTTTATGTCACGTAATAAATGAATAAATGAATGAAGTGTTTGTTTCAGTGCAATTTAGTGTTACAATGAATACTTAGCTGCTTCAGTTCAACATAATTACAAAGGAGTTATCTCAATCTGTGGATCCTTCCATGCAGAAAGTTTAATTTGTGTTTTTCAGTTCAGTTTTTACTTCAGATTACAGAGGGAAATGATATAGATTTACCATTCAGCAGCTTAAAGTAACTTCAGCGAAACAGTGTCCCTGTTTAGATAAGATGGACATTTTATATTAATGTTTATTACCATCTGTAGAAATTGTTCCTGATGAACTAAAATAATTTATTATAAACATGAAGAGTAGAATATAGTAGAGAGATACACACACATGCCCAGGACTTTGTTGTGTCCGTCTAATGTAGTAAAAACAGCAGAGAAAAGGTTGTTCTGTTTTAGTATTTGTGTGTCTCTGTGCATCTCTGGCCTACAGGTTGAAAACAAAAGGAAGCTTGTGTTCTCAACAGTGTGGGCGGGAGGCAGAGGAAAAGTACAGTGTGTGCTGTTAATATTCCGCTCACCTGTGTGAGAATATCCAGTTGACCTATGATGTGTTCCAGAGTGCTGGCCAGACCAGGGGGGACCCCTCCTTCTGAGGCCTGGGACTGTGCTTGAACATGTGATGAATGCTTTAAACCCTGGGTCTGTGTCTGATGCGTGGAGGAAGAAGTGGGATCTCTGTAGGTGTGGGATTGAGTCGCTCTGTTCTGGATGCCGCTGCGACTGCTGCTCTGGGGTTGGACGGCGGTTTGGAAATCCTGTCTGTTAAAATCTTCTGATGGGTCAGAGGTCTGAAAACAGAGAGAAAGAAAGGTTAAGAGCTGTTCAAATTCAGATGGTGTCTGAAGAGCTTCTCACACAAAATGCTATCAATAGAAGAACATCTCAATTGTAGAGGAGTGAGTCATCAACATAGTTGTCAAAGTTTGACCAGCCCTGTGCAAATTAACTTAGTTTGTGTTTTTCTTCAAATGCATGTTCACTTTATTTTTCATCAACAACATAAACCAATAAACAAACAAAATGGTAATTCTGGAACGTGTCAGTGTTTGGGAACTCTGCTGACTATCTGCCAAAGGACTGGCTTTAATGTTCAATAAGCATAATATGGAGAGGAAATGTCGATATGTCCAATATGGAAAATGTCTAATGCCATTATAATTGTATCAGAATGACGATTGAATAATAATAACTTTCACCAAATTATAATGCAGTTGCCTTTCTGTCATAAAGATAAGACACGGATGTTTAACACTTGAGAAGCTGGACCTGGTGCTGAATTGATTTCAAACCTAATATTCTATTTTATACTTTTCTTATAAAACCTAAAATGTTTCCAGCAAATGGAAACCAATCTAATTGCTTGGATGAATTTTGTTTCAGTAAAGGCGCTTGTTAATCTGATTTTAGAAAGTATATGGAATCTAAAGAAGGCAACATTTTGAATCAGTCTCACACAAACACCCACACGTGACACGCACAGTTGCCACTTGTCTGCTTGTGTTGTGATTAATTCAATGAGACATAAACACATGAGCGTCAGTGACCACATCTCTCCAAGGCAACATATCTTCTGCATCCTAAGTTGGGAGAGAATAACTATTTTACTTCACCACACAAGTTCAAATCTATCTATAGTCGGCGAAACATGTTTAAGGACGAAGTGTCAAACTGTGCTGTTCCTTATAAAGGTAGATGAGCGGAGCCATCAGCGGTCGCCACAGACAATAAGTAATAAATACACAATAACAGGGTCCGGGGTTCCCAGCAGCTACATACAGTGAGCTGTGACATGTTTCTTGGTTGATCACAGTATTTGTTTGTGATTTTTGGCAAAATAACAAAATAAACAGAATATACTATTAATGAAAATACATTTGACTAAATATGGCATTCAGTGACTGAAACTTTAATAACATACACAACCGAAAAAAGGATAAAACCGTAGCCTTTGGATATTGCATGAAAGCAACAAAGAATAATAATAAAGGTTGGTTGTAGGAAGGCAAACTCTGCCAGAATGTGTAAAATGGGAAAAGGAGATGACAGGGCCAGAATCAATAGTATTCTGAAGCAGAAAATGGCAGAACCTGAACTCATTGCCCTCAAATATGTTGCAGCCAAGTTGCAATCGGTCCAGCGCTCAATATTGTCTCAGTGCACGGTGCATGCCTAGACTAAGCAAACAGAGGACTTAGCTCTAACTTTCTAAGAGGAAAGAAATTGTCCAAACACTCAGCAAGAGTTTTTAACTCAAAATCAAAATGTGTCCATGACATTGTGTGTGACATCAGTTATTATCTAGCTGTCACCAGTGTCTCAGCTGTGTTACCAGACCTGAATTCTGAGTATTTACTGGGAATTTTCTTTTTTAGCATCTGTGTTTGTGTGTCTTTGTACATCTGTGTGTTAGCATACTTTTTCATGAAAAGTCCTTAAATAGAATAATTACAGCATAATAAATTATAGCACTTCACCCCTCATGGCCTTTATTTTAATTATTTTTCATGCTGAAACTGTTAAAAAAAAAACCTGATAGAATAGACTTTGAATAAATTTAGTGAGGAAATATCTCAGACAATTCAATAAGTGCATTAAATAGGTGGAGTGTCAGACAAGTGCACACCTGAATGTCCAACAACATGAGATTTTTGCAAACAATGTGTGTTCCATCATGCCACTTTGTACAACAGAAAATAATACAATCATACACATTTAATAGAACAGTGTAATAACAATATCGAAACACTGTAATTCGCAATTCATCAAGATTCAAAATATATAAATAAATTACTTTATTCAAAAGTACAAAACAAAAGTTCTAGGTTAAAAGCTCTCTAACCATGCATGGCACAACCAAAGTTGAGGATTTGTTTAAGGAAGTTATTTTTGGCTAAATCCAGCCATCAGTTGCACCATCAGTTGCACCATCACTACCATCTGACATCAGACCCCTCACCAATGATCAGTGTTTCACTCCCAGCTATCACGTTAGAGAGATTAGTTTGGTATGTTTTCAATAATTTTGTATGAACCATGAAGGATGTCATAAAAACTGGTTCTTGATAGAAAGAAGGTTATTCACCTGATTTACACTGTTAGATTCCAACTTTTCCACAAGTCGACAAGATTTTTTAAAATTTTAACAATCACAATTAAATGTTATCATCATGACTAAATATTCCAGATTAGTCATAAAATGTAATCTTTTCTAGCTGTCATCGGCAATTATGCAGTAAAATACACTGACTATACCATTGAGCGTCTAATTTGTCTTATTACATAGCATCTTTGATAATGTGACAATGACGATAAAACAATAAATTGCTCTGCAAACTCAACACATCCTGTCCCGTTGTAGTGTTACGTGGGGCCAGGGAAAACCCTGATATGCTTAAGCGTCCACACATGCTCAAGCAAACACAGCACACACTGTAACCACCCTCCTAATGAATCACCTGGAGTGGAAAAACCAACAGTGGAAAATTTCCTGAGGCCCAAATTAAACTCTTGGTCAGACACAGCCCGCCGTCAATACATCCTGCAAGCTGCATGAAAAACCATTCACCTAACTACACACTTTTATACGGAGTAGGCCCCCCTACCCTCTGAGCAGGAAAGTGAAGAGAAGTGAAATATGCACATGGAGAGACAGACATGTGTGGAATGAAATTTTCTTAATGTGCTTCAGCAGCTAATGTATTCATCAAGGTTTATTCTGAGTATGAGAGAACATTGGTTGTATCTGAACCAGATTGAAGAGAAATTCACCTTAAACACTTCGTGCACCTTCAAGACAATTAAGAATATTAAGGTAATATAGGACTGATTAGACTTGAGGACACTACAGAGGCACAGAGGCACATTACAGAAGCAGCAGGGTGATGTGCTAATAGTTGAAGGGCCAAGTTCAACCTCATGTAACAGCAACCATCTGGCAAGCTTACATTCTTTTCTTGAATCCATCCTGAAACCCTTCCAGGTTCAGAGGTGCCCTTGTGTATTTGAAATATCACAGGATGAAAAACACAGGTGTAAATAATAAAATGAATAATGGCTGAATTCCATTTAGCTGTTTCAGTTTCAGGTTATAGTGCATTCTTCTTATAACATGTTTAATGTTTACAGAATCTAATGGCCTGTTTCTTTATCACACTTTGAAGCTTGTTACGTGCCAAGCTTATATGTGTTTTTTTCTGCTTGATCGTGTTCAGTTTATTTGGCACTCAATCGCTTTGTCCCTCCCCCCCCTCAAAACTATGAAATGTGACGTGCAAAACTCTCTGTCCTGTCAATCTGTTAAAGTTTTGTTAACTCACACAGCTAGCATACACAGCTAGCTTACACTGCAACAGTGGCTTACCAGAGGTTTGTAATCATGACCATAGACACCATATCATTTATAGATGTTATAAATGGATATGGTGTCACATTTGAATATCATCATTATATTTGAATATTAAGGACTGAAGTAAACACATAAGAAACATCCTATGTTTCAATAAAGTATAAGGTGAATTGGTCTTTTGGCTGATTTTCTGTCTGAACCACTGGAAGTCCTCAACTGAAAACAAATACAAATAATACGTGGACCACAAATATAGATGTTTAGTTTGTTTCACAGTGTTGGCCAGAATTATCTTTCTTGGATATTTCCCTCATATTATTCCCAAAGCATCAGTAAATATATTTAAATGTGCTGTTGCACTCACTTATAGATAGTAAGAAGAAGAATTTCGAAAGAAACAACGATATGAACACAGTAGGATCAAGTGTGTCCACACCAGCTGTGGCTATTCAACTGAACCAGGACCTTTAATTGGCCGTTTAAGATAAATGTCTGTGTTTTACTATAAATTGATGTCAATTATCCAGGCCCGCCTCCTCTGCATTACACAGATAACATAGCTGGACAGATAGTAAAGTTGGCGATAACAGAGCTCGTTGCTCTGTCAATCTACTGTGCACTGTGTAAAAAGCAATTTCTGAGCAAGTGAGGAAAAGCATTATAAAGTTATAATTTGTTAAAATACAGTAATCAGGTGATGGTTCCATCCCTTTCCTGCAGGGGTGCCCCGAGGCTCTGTGCTGGTTTCCCCCTCTCTTTGCAGCATACACTACTTCCTTTGCCTTAATGGTTTCTCAATTCACTGCTACGCAGATGACACCCAACTGTCCCATCATTCCAGCCAGATGACCCTCCGATCTCACTCACAGATTGGGGCTTGTCTTTCACATATTCACGTAGAAATAAAGCCACCTTAAAATAAACCTCTCGAGGAATGAACTCTTGTTCATCCTGACCAATCTCTCCATCAAACTTTCAACATCAAAAAAGCCTTTTATTGTCTCACCCCAACCAAAATTATAAAAAATCTAGGTGCCAAGTTTAATCAGCAGCTATGTATCTCAGAACATGTTGCATCTATCTCCCAGTTGTACCAGTCTTTATATGACTAATTGGTACAGGCCATAGTTATCTCTCCTTCTTTAGCTTGTCATACTGAACAGATGTAGCACATATAATGGCAATAATGGCTTTCAGATTACTCTTTTTATTATTCCCTTTCTTCTGCTTCCCATCTTGATTTTTTTCATGGCTCGGTGTGCTCATGCTCACTCACGTGTTCACCCTGTTTTCCACTTTCACTACCTTTCACTCTTTCTCCCTGATCCTCGCTGATGCTCTCTCGCTCCACTAGACCATTAGGCTCTCTTTAACTCCATTTCTATCTCGTCTTCAACACTCCCTTGTCACACCCCCTGCCTTTCCCTCTCTTGCTCGCTTTCT